GAAACCATCACATTCACGGACAAAAGAATATCGCCTTTAGCTATTCAGATCCAGGAAGCACTTTGGAGAAGACTAAACAACCTAAAACTCTTATTTAGCCGCAAAGGAAGAGATTTACGTTTTAAAAGAGGTCGAAGAAAGTGCTCTTGCATCAGAGGACAAATCATGCCGACCAGAAACAATAACCGCAGAAAATCAATATGCGTGTCATGACCTCTCAGTATGAAACAAGCGGCAAAATTCACATTTACTCATTCAAAGAGTAGAACCCAGAATATAACATACCCACCAGAGAAAACAATTTTTGGAACAAGCAGCATTTTGGCACGAGGTAAAAGTCATGTGTTGCCTACCAGCCCGCTTTTTACACTCTGTTAGATGGTTCGAGCATTTTGGCGGGATCACGGCTCTTTTGGCGCGTGTTGTAAATGCCCTTTGAATTATAATATTTGTGCGTTATTGTATAGTGATCGAGGATATACACAATACCAAAGGCAAGTAAATATTTTCCTCTGTTTTCCTCAGTGTCGTCAAACCGGCTTCACCGATGTGCTCGAACTCCGCATGCGAGAGCCATAACAAGCTGCTCCTCTACCTTTTAAATAATAAAGGTCTCTCTTACCTTATATCGGCGAACACAGTTTCTGTCCTTCGGACATAATGCGAAATAACATCCAGAACTCTTCACGTTGAACTTTTGAAACCATTTCGGCGACAATATGTAACTTACCAGGTAACGTACCGAATAATTATTACTTTGGAGGGTTCGAATTCGACCTTCATAAAGCGCTAGATTTTGCCTTTCGCTTAAGAAATGAAAAAAATATTTCTTTTTTTTCCAAGACTTGCACCAAGACCCTTTTTTAACACCAACCATGAATTTAAGTATTTTCATTAATTGATTTTGACGAGAACCATAGCTGAGTTAAAATATCTCGCTCCGATGGCATAAATTCGGCGCGCAGAAGACAAGCTCTGATATTTGACGCAAATTTGTGTCCTGTCCTAAAATGAGTTTATTGACAGATGAACTGACAGAAAGCGATTAATGTGAACACCTGAGGTGCGCAAGGAAATGTGTCAAGACTAATGCCTTGTAGTTACTTGAGTCCAGTTTGTGGGTATCTCCATGGAAATTAAGGATCCCTGGTGCGTGCACGAAAATCGACCTTGCGGCTCGTAATGTGTGCTCTTTAGCTTTGAGGAATACTTCGTTCTCGGCGTTTTGTGACTTTGACTTCAAAGGAATGATTGCCCTATTAAAACAAAGCCGTTTTTTGTGAGGTCTTGACCTCTAGCTTAACGTTTTGATCAAATCAAAAATGAAGTCTCGAAGTGTACATTGTATTACAGTCTGACGTCAGTACTTGAAACTTGCTGCTAATTTAATATCTCATGATCCATTTTGTTTACTTTCTGCAGTCGAATTCGTAATCTGCTCGAAGTCCGTTTCACTTTGGCAAGCCAGGCAGGTAAGACTGGATGTACATTGTGAATTCGTTCATCCGAAAACTCAAAACTAATGTTTGAGTACGAACGCCCTTTTAAAGGAGTTATTTGTTTGTTAATTGCTTGTAGTTTTTTTGTTTGATGTGTTTGGCTAGCTATACGAAGCTTGACGCGCAATTAAAATTAGCGATCTGCTTTGTATACAGAACCGAATGCTTTGAAAGAAACTGAATGGGATTACATTTTACTTTATAAACTGAAATGAACTGTTGTAGTCGTCGGTTGACTCGTGTCCGGAGTCAGTGCTGATCTTGCCTTCCGTTACAGGACTTTACAGCCATGTTGAATGCTGAATGGGTCCTACAATTACATTATACGCCGGGAAGGTTAAACGCTACCTAAGTGCATTTGTGCTATTCAGTCCTATCTGCCGGACTTTTAGACGTCTGCAGCAACTCTTCAAAAAATTTAGCAATCATGATAAGGAAATCATTAAAGTTTCGGCTAAGGTGTCACTTGCCTAATCCCGTCTACTATTTTAGGCCCGTTATTGACACATCCTTTAATTGTAAACTCGGCTTACCTCTTCTACTAAAAACGTTTTGCGAAGCTCCTTCAATTCCTTAGAGGCAGTTGTTTTGAAAATGTATCACCCTCCCAGTCTAGTAACTTCATCATAGTCAGTGGTAAGAACGCTACCCGACTCAGCAGCCCTCCCCCGCGAAACCCTCTTATAGGAAGCCCACCAAGAACCTCTAAGGTCTACAAATTCATCTTATTTTGCTAAGTCATTCTAAGAGAAAATACTCTCAGTCACACACTGTGCGCTTAAATCGAGGCTTTACAGTAACAGCAGGGGGAACATACTCTATTTGTTTCCCGTAAGCTTTGCTTTATTAAAATTTCTACACAAAAACACCAGTTGTAATCATAAGGGTCTCCTGACCTGCAGCAGCAGCTTGAATAACATTGAGACATACTTGGGGAAGGTATGCTTTTTACTTGTAATATCTAACTGTAACCGCTTTTAGCTATAAAATTCATTCTGTTATTACAACGTATATATTGAGTAATGTGCCGCGTAACACAGAGCAAGAAACTGATACAAAGAATTAACTCTCTAGAGCGAAAAATGTAAGTGCTACATCGGTTATTTCTAGCACTTGATTCTTCAATCCAGAGTTAATAATTCTGTTCTATCATGGGGCTTGCAACGTACGCACGTTTCATACATGTTGGTTTTGTTGCGTTTAAGCTTGTCATTAATATTAGAAATGTTTTTCATTTAGATTTCAATTTAAAGTAAAATTTCCATAAACAGTATTATAATTCGGCGATATGGAAAGTAAGCTGAAACTGCCTCTAAGCGGAGTTCTCTATAATAAAAATGGAGGGTATATATCTATACAGCAATTAGTTCGTTCGAACGTTATTTTTTTTTAGATGGGGGGGGGGCGAGGGTAACGCAAATTGTGAACCAGGATTCATAGTTTGCTATCATTATCTAGTTAATGCTACAAGTGCACATAATTTGGAATATTCTGTAAGAAGTGTCTATCGGCCCTACATTTGAAAACAAGCCCTAAAGACAGCTTTGGCTCCAACGAAATTGTATGGTTCTTTGGTTACTTTTTTATAACTATATATATATTGCATTTTGAGAATAATACGTTATACTTTGCAAATGCCGGAAATGCTGGCTTGCGTTTCTCAAAACTTCCGAAAATGTGAAAACTTTACAAGATCGAAAACTATGTCGGTCCACCTAGCAAAAAACTCCCATCGGAGATTTAAAGAAAAAAAAAGATGATTAAAAGAAAAACACTTTACGGGCGCGAAAAATCCTTGGGAGTTTTGAGAAGTGCGCGTCAGGTGTTCAATACAATTAAGCCAAGGCAAACTAAAAATATATGTTCGTTATTGGGGTTCTGAAAAACGGAAGGCGCTTTAACATCGAAAGGCTATTGGCTTGGGGAATAAAAACAATGCCTCCAATATGCTTTGATCATATGCAAACAGCTGAAGAACAAAAACTAATTTGCATGAAAAACCATAGATATTTTCGTTGTGACGAACACATAAAATTGGACACACTTTCAACTCGGGAGAATCTCCAGATTTTAAACTTTTGTCTTCCTCAACTAGACGATACGGTATGTTTACGCAAATGATGTTAGTTTAAAACCTGGGTAATTGATTAGCTTACGATAGCGGATAGAAACATATTCAGCATGCCCAACAAGGGGGTACATTTTGTGGATGGAAATAATTCACTTACTTCGCACTTATAACCGAATTCTAAATTTTCTTTGCATGGTGACTTTCCATAGGGAAAACTCAAATTTCCATTTCTTTGAGCTTGCAAATTTTGTGCTTCAAAGCTTTATTAAATATTAATTCAGTTTTTTTTTGTTTTGCATTTATTAAACTTAGTTCAAAAGACGCTGAAAGGCTTAGTGAATGACCATATGGTATGAAAAAGTAGGGACGGTGGGAGTTTTTTTTTCTGCGTGTGTAATACACGCACACCATAGAGTACCGGAGGGTATTCCCTATAATTGCCTATACAGGAGGGTTCCACGCTAAAGGGGTCTGTTTTTCAGGCTTTTGATTTATGAAAAATTTGAAATTTCATCAGTAGAAGTGAGCATATGAAAAGGTATAGCGAAATCTGTCAAAGGACCTTAAAGGGCTAGTAACAGAAGCAATTTATGAATGTGAAAAGTCAAGAAAACTTCCTTGTTTAGTGATTTATTCATATTTATGAAGACGGTGCATTGACAGTAGTTAGAAGGGATTGAGTGTGTTTAGAACTAGGTAATAAGTGAAAGAAGTACCACTTATCAAAAAAATTTTACAAAAGGAGTATCTTGTCTGTCTAAAATGATATCTTAAAGTGTAAAAGGTGTTGAACCTACAATAGAAGCGCAGCCTCCCCGTCTAAAACTTTGTAGATTACCCCCCCCCCCGGCATGATGTAGTCTGCAAGGAGTCACAAAAAATTAATTTGCACTACTCATTACTCGACCTCACTTCCTTCTTTTATTTGTTCAATTCGAAAATGTTTGTTAATAAACCCTTCTACGTGAATCCATGTATTATGTATACATTGAACAACGTCAACCCGAAAAGTAATAAATTAAAGTAGTTCGTGAAATCTGAGATGGTTTTGCAAAAATCTCATGTCTACAATCCAAACCATATATATTCTATTACATATGCTACAGAATTGAACTTAAAAATGGCAGTGTTTTTAAAATTTAATTGAGCTTATGGCGCATCAAAAAACAATAAGCACTACCAGCTGCATTGATCTACATCAGTCTTTGAAACAGATCGATATGATTCCATTGATATGTCAATCTTATATTCAGTATTTATTCCTAGCCTACAATTATTATATTATATTGTCAGTCTTCTGGCCAAAGTATTATGGCAAAACATCCTAACTTAACAACGAAAGTGGGCATGAGTTCCCCGTCAACTGCGATGTCCTTTTTAGAGAATGACACATCTCATTCCATTTGTTGGTATACAGAACTTCCAAGAAAATGGCGCCAGAACCAGAAACCGAACCTAATCCAAAGCCCGAATCGTCTGCTGAACCAAAAACCTTGTTTCCGGAGATCATGACCAATCAAGAGGCTTTCCTGATGTACGGAGTGTTCATCTTCGCCCTTACTGTCTTCTGTATCATTCTACTGGTTCTGTTCATACTGCTGAAGAAAAAGTTAGTTGTTTTAGATTACTTATTAATACTCAGCAGTTTCCTCTGACGATTTATAACACTGTACTGATTAGAAATAAATATTAATTAGAGAATAGCCGACAACATCATTGCCTATACGTGTTTGGCTCAAGCAAGATTTTATTTTAATCGATTCGATCGACTCTATGTGGTCCTTTGATGGCTTGCATGGTTAGTCATTACATTATCAGTACGCAGTCGATGATTAGCTACAAACAAATCTAGAGTCACGAATCTCTGACTCAGAAACTTTTTCATCGGCCTTGCATAAAAAACTGACCTAATATTTTCTTAGGGATATGAGCATTATTTGTGTAATTCATCTCGACTTGTTTCTTTAACCAATTAAACGACTCGTTCTGAGAGCTCCTTGGCGCACCGAACAAATAGGGCATTTCACAGTTGTGTGCTTAGTGACCTGGCCGTTGAGTGAAAAAGAGGCTGGAGTTATTTTGACTTTGTTCTGATACAAACTCGACCTTTTTTTCTCATGTAAAACTGTTGTAAATGACCTTGTTTTCATGTTAAGTTACTAAACTGGAGGTAAAGTCGTCCTCATTTCTCTCTAATTTAACGCTTAATAGTTAAGCGTTATTCTTTCATCGGTGTTTCGTTACTTGTTATTCTTTAATTGGCCTTATTAGGACGCCTGCTCTAAGAGAAAGAACAAGAGTTTCAGAATGCATGAGAATTGGTTAATTTGTGTTATACGTAAGGCTTAATCCCTCTGACTGTTGCTTTATTTTAGGGTCAGGAAAATAGCAAGCTCGCTTGGACCCATGGACATGAAAATCCAGCATGGTTAGTCCAGTTTACTGAATTTCCAGTGTTAATAATTTTTACTTATCATCCACTTCTTTTACTTTGCACTCACAACATGCTTTCAAAGATACGATTCAAATGCCTGAACGATTTCTCTTAGGGACCCCCACCCCCCCCCTCCCCGAGGGTAACTCTTGAAGAATTTGAGGGGGGTTATGCGGTATGTTTTTGAACCTTACTTTATAATGTTTCAAACCAAAATAAGTGATGTTTCCTTTCCCACGTCTCTGAACAGCTTTTCCCAGGAGATAAATGAACAACCAATTCCCGTCACTGGTTCCAGGGATCACAAAGCCTCACCTTATATCAGAGCCAAATGGCTAGAATTCAATTTCAAAGTGGTCAAAACCACTTTTAGCTCTTGTATTCTTCCCTGTAAATCTGAACCACTATCTACCTTCCGCTGTTTTTGGACACTCCCACCATCGTAGTCTCCCACGTAGGAGTTTTTAAGGGAGTCGTATTTCCTCCCTCCCCACAAATATGAATTTGGTAGGTACAATGTGATTGGCTAAGAGGCGGAAAGGAATGTTGGTCTCGGGTTAGAAGGCGTGGGGAGAAAGGAAATACGACTCCCCTAAAAACGCCTGCGTGGGAGGCTACCGGTAGCACCATCGTCGAACAAAAAATAACTATAGGGCGCTTTCACTCACGTGACCAGCACCTATGCAAATTTACAGTAACAAAAGATAGCGTTTATTTAAAAAAAAGAGTTCAACTCCCACGGGACTGGTTTGGAACATCAACATGGCCACCGTTTCATTGTTTTGGAACACAATTATGGCCACCGTGACGTCATGTGAAAACGCTCTATACTTCTCAACGGCAACCTTGCTATGTTATTGTCTTAACCTCCTCACCCCAGAAAACATTTAAGTTAATTATAAAAAAATATGTCAAATCAGCCTCAAAATATTTTTCCATCTTTCCTTTAGGTATCTGATGTTCATTGATGACGCCGGACAAGGCACTAAAATGGGGACCCCCAAAAGTTTTATTAACCGTTCATAGACATGCAATCATGCAAGATACATTAAAAATAAAAATAGTTTGTTCTCACTGTGAATGTTTGAGACGAAGCGCCAATATCTTTACTCGCATAATAAAATTATGTATTGCATACTTATGGCTGTGCGTGAAGAAATAAAGAAAGCCCTATATTATCCGTCTTCTTTAAAGATTAGACTAGCGTGAATTGTCTCTCCTTTTTCAGTTCTATTCACAAATCTTCACTTTTTCTCGACTGCTAGAAAACTGAATTTTTATATCTTGCGCAAACTTTTAAACCTATCCTTAGGGAATTTATGGGGCGAGTTGCCATGGGCAACCGACTTCATGCATAACATCGGCCAAGTGCAGTCCATTCTTCTCTTTCGATTCTCTTGGTAAATATTTTTGCCCTACGTGTGCAGATGCATGACTTAGTTCTCAACTGTTTCCCGACAAACCAGAGCCGAGTTGATTGAGAGACACTAGAGGCCCGTTTCTCGAATGGCCCGGAAACTTTTCGGGCCCGAAGACAAATTTTAAAATCCAAACCTGTTGAATAGTTAGCACAGTTGCTAGCCCATAAACCAGTCAATTTTGCTTCTTTAAGTGATAGTTTCATTCTGTTATTTTCAAAATTATTGAAACTTTGATCTTAAATGCAAATACAACAAGCACAACACAGCTTTTCGGGCCCGAAAAAGTTACTGCAATTTGATTGGCTTAGAGCAATGGTATTTCAGGTTAATTTAAAATACCTACATGTGAAGATTACAAACCTCTTGCGGGTAGTAGTATAAACAAATAATAGCATGATTTGTACGTGGTATTTGGCTTAAATACCACTCTTGATATTTCAAAATTGTCTCAATTTTGAAATTAAGTAAAACAGTTTTGAAATATCCCTCGTGGTATTTATGCCAAATATCAGTAAAAATCATGCTATTACCTATACTAATCTATCGAAATCTACAAGTTTGGCTGTTTTTTTCAGGCTTCAGAACGATGGCTACACTTGCAGTTACAGTCAACTCCCTATAACGGACACTGCAGGGACGCTCGGATTAGTGTCCTCGTTGGCGAGAGTCCCGGCGTAATAGCGGGAGTTTATTTCAGTCAAACATTTGTAACTTATTTTTGCCTGGGATTTAGCTGCTGTCCGTCAGCTGTCCGTATTATCGGGGTGTCCGTTATAGCGGGGTGACCGCAAGGCGTGAGTTGACTGTATCCGGGTGTCCGTTGTAGCCAGCTGTATAGCGGATAGTTGACTATATACACTAGTGTCAAAGTCTGAGTGTTGAAATGACCCAAGTCTTGGGAGGTCTCGCCTTGCTGTTAGTAGCAGACTAACACCAGGAGTAGCTCTACAGTGGAATAGTATGCCATCCAGACAAGGGGAGAATTATCCCCATCGATAATATGTATGCGGACCATATATAGCTGCAATAAAATTGATTGTGCGACTTTTAATTTCTTGCCCGTCTACACTCAATTTTAGCAAACTGGCCCTTTAGTGTATCATCAGTCACCAAAGAGCCCCTAATGTGAGGTTTGCCTTTTCAGCTCAACAGAAAGAAGAAAGTATAGATCCATGTAAAACGACAGCTCAGTCGGCTATGATCAGAAGAAAAAGTAGGAATGATACCTTCGAATAGTAAGGTAGCTCTTAAAGCAATACTGTGTAGCACCACTGCACTCATGGATCTAGTATGTACGACGCTCTTTCGTATTCTCTTGTGTTAGGAGAGAATGCTATCCAGAAAATGCCCAATTATTAGTGTAACAAATTATGGTCAATTAAAGATCATAACGAGTTACCTTAGTAACGGTATAACATATGATAAACGCCCCTAGTTTTGTGGGGTAGGATAGGGGATGGGAACCGGGAGAATCAGGAAGCAGGAGAGGAAAGAGTTGGAGGTGGGAGTTCTGAAAAAGTAGGAAGCGGGAGAAATAGGGGTAAATTATGCAACAATGCTGAAAGGTTGGCTGCCATCGAAAAGAGCTAAACTGAGCAAGAAGAAAAGGGGCAGGAGACAAAATTGCAAAGTACGGGAAGGGGGAGGTTTAACTTCAAGCGTGGGGGACTGAGCTTAATGACTGTCATCATCTATTATGGAAATGTGTGGTATGTGTAGATTTAACTTTTCGCAAAGTTTTAAAACACGTATAAGGTTTGGGTGGGTTCAGAGCCCCTTTAAATTATCGAGACATTAAAGTGGTCTGAGCCCATTATTGTTTAGGAAAAGGATAAATCTTGACGTGCTCATTACAATTCCATAATAAAAAAATGGGAGTTAAGTTAACACCCCTTAAACCTTAGCTAGTAACAAAATAAAAGCTGTTTGTAACAGGTTTAATATAATTTCTAATGACAAACAAATATTAAATAAAACACAATTTGTTTTCTTAATACCTTTATAATAGTGTCAAATGAAAAAGCTAGCAGTGTAGCGATGATCAATCACAGCAGAGGTGTTAAAAATATTGAACCGTTGTGAACGGCATTTCGTTACAAAAGAGAAGACACATTCAAGTAGAATGTGCTTTTGTATTTTTTTTAAGTGCAAACTTCCTGAGTGTAATAACTGTCAGGCCCGGTTTTTCCTTCCCAATTCGCACTTAAGTTACGTACATAACTGTGGTGATCTTTTAAGTGTTAAATATTTCTGTCGGTATTATCACTTCTGAGGAACCGAGTCCTTCGAAATAAATTTTTGTCCTACTGCTGATTTTTTTTCTTTGCAAAGTTTCTCTTAAAAAAGTCATTTTTTATAATTAGGACTAACTTCTAAAAGAGACGGTAGATTGTTAATCCGTAAATACAGCGTACTTGTTCCCCAAAAACTTCTGTTACGTAACAGCTAAATCATAAGTCTTCGGTACTGAAATTGAAAACGGGACATGTTTAAGAATTTTACGGTACTAAGGTTATTAATTTCTTAAGTGAAAGATTCCATACCTTTCTTCTTTGATACTCTTCTATTTGTTCTTAGAAGCGGCCACAAGTACTGTGCCGCTTATAAAACGCGATTCATACGAGCTTTGTTTCCTATATTATTCAAGTTTTTTTCAAACAAGAATCTCCATAATCATGCTCAGCTGCTCAGGGACATGGAAATGAATATTTATAGATTTAGGAATGGATCTATTGGAAGGTATTTTGAAAGTATTGTTTTGGAATTAAAGAAGGTACTGAAAACAAGTCAGTGGTATCTAGAAATTGGAGGAATTGAAGTTCTACAAATATGATGTATAATTAGTAGTCCCACGGCGAAAATATAAATGTTTCCTCAACCATAAAGTCAACACACAAACTGGGATTAATAAAAACCTGCAGCATTTAGGGCCCAATTGTTTACCAACAGCTGTCAATCAAAACTTTTCCGACCACATCTTGTTAGTTTGACAAACAACAACAATGCCAAAGTTGAATGAACGCCTTGTTGCTGAGTCATATATGATGTGCGTCAGAGAACATGACTAAGCGAAACAACCCCTCTTCTAAAAACAATGGTCTTTAGTTGTAAGCATGAAGTTAAATCCCGATGAATATGAGGGTTTGTGGTCGTTTCAAGTCTCAACTCCAGCTCAAAAAAAAAAGGTTTCTGTTTTTAGGCAAAATCTTGCAATTTTAATTTCTACGACAAAAAGAAAAGAAGCGAAGAAACCTGAAATCATAGCAATATGATTGATGAAATAAAAAAAAATCCTGATTTTTGCATTTCTTTATTTAAAGCGACCAAGGACTTTGAAAGGAAAAAGCTAAGGATTATAACTTCCACCTTTTGGAATCTTGGAGTTATGACGATATTCTAAGATACTGAAAACAAAAGAATAAACTTCCGTAGGAAGAGTATTCAACCAGATGTCTCTGGAGTTTCTAGGCCGTTGACACGGCAAGACATGTTGCATATTTACCGAAAAAATAAAGACTTGTCATTTATCTTGCCAGAAGGAATGTTTCCTACGTATTTAAAAAGAGAAAACTGTAGAACGGTTCCATGACAATTACGTAAATTTTGTAAACAAATACGCACACTAGTAATTGTTTATGAAGGTAAAGAATTTTGCCGAGTCATATGTGAAGTCGCTTGCTAAATAGACCGTGGAACAGTGTTTTTGAGCATAGCGGTATTTATGACTCTACTATCAAGAGAAAACGTTTTGCGAGGGAGATGAATAAATACCAGTGTATACTGAAAGTATCAGTAAGGTGCGTTTATAAAACCTGAGTTTAACTGGCTATGAAAGATATGCTCACGTGGTATGAGAATGAAGTCACGTTATAGGTCGGATATTGATAATTATCTTAACACTTGGACGTCAAACAAAGCGTCTTCAATAGCCTAGAGCTCATTGAAATAAGCCTCATTTGCTACGAACCGGCAGTCTTAGAAGGGTTGAATTAAGAACAGCATCTGTTTCGTGTCAGTGAAACCAGCTTAGGTAAGTTACTAAACCACCAGCAAAATTATTCGTTTTGTGAATAACTCAATGACTAAAACTCAGTTTCACACATTGAAAGATCTCAATTGTGACCGTGCGCGAATAACAACTTACTGAAAACATATTTGTAAACAATTTAAGGTAACATTAGGGCACGCAAGCGACACTAACAGTTCCAAGATTGATGAACCGCCGAAAAACAATACATTCCATGTTGACTAAATATCTGTCTTATTTGATTACCAATGCCATCAGCGATTTAAGTTATTGAAGTGAAAAACCTTTTTTTGCGGTTCTATTGAAGAAAACACCATCGCTGTCATTTAATTTCTTGCATTGAGGCCCTACCGCTGCTTCACTCGGAGTAGCATGATTATTGGAAGAAAAAAAAAAGCATTAATTCTAATTCGATCGTTCATCTCGCTGAACTAAGCCGCTCCATAGTGGCTTCATCAGGTCACTCCAAACTTAACAGTAATAGAGTTTTGTTGTCTCCCAAAAAGTAGTGAAATTTTTTTTTCCTACTCAATGCACATCTAAGCGAGAACATGAAATATCTGCCCTTAAACCTAGATCTGTGACCGGTCATCCCGCTTATATAGTAAACGAACGGTCTCAGTGCGCATGAAAACAAACAACCTCAGGCCGGCCAACAAAACCAAGGAGGATTGGAAAAAGCTCATTTTGCTATGCAGCTTATTTCGTTGTCAAGGCTCCCCAAGTGTCTCTCGCCGTCGTTGATTCTAATTTTTAAGAGTGTTCCAATGATTCCCTTATGATACAAGGTGTTTTATCTGCTTTCTTATATGATAGCCCTACTCTGTATCGACTAAATATAATTGAACATTACTTTATCACGGGATCCTAAAGAATTCCGTTATATTCTGGTACAAATATACGGCAACCGTGCCACGTTAGTTTTTCGCCTTAATTCATTAAATATATTTTTAAAACAAGGAGCACTGCTTCAAACTCAAGAGGAAGATTTTTTCTTAGAATGGCGCTGATTGTCTTTAATTTGTTAACTTGAATCACTCGTTCATTGACAAATTCTATACGTCCTCGCACTTTAAAATCATCTACATTGATGAAAGATGCTAAAATTCTATGTCCATTTTTTGTTACTATGTTTTTAAAGAGCCAACATAAAAAGACAACAGCAACAACAAGACTTTCTATATCCATTGCTTTGAATCTGGAGGCAGTATACTGTCCAGAAAATAAGAGCCTTCCAGTTCTTGTTTCAACTTGCGTTTCCCGCTAAGATTATTCGCAAAAAGCCGAAAGTCTAGTTAAAGTTTTTGAATGGTTTTTACTATATCAACTTACTTGAGTTCCGCTTATCAGTATGCATGCAAATACAGGAAAACTAGGCAACGACTTTTTCAATTTGCGTCAATCGCCGGAGACTTTTGAAAGATCGATATTGCTCGCCGATAATAATTTTCCGTTTCTCCTAATTGCGTGCGTCTTGATTAATTGTCAAAGGAGAATCTGCATTGAATTAGAATGTAAAGCCTTCAGTAGGTTTTTCTTAGTATTATCGCAATTGCCTCTTTTATTTTAGTAACAAATTCATTCGGTTCGTTTTATAGTTATAAACATCATATCGCTAACTCGCCAGTGCTGCTGAAATAAAGTTTTTTAAGACTATTGCGAGAGTTCTTGCAAATTTGCAAAAAAATACATTCTGAATTTTTTTTTTTCATTTTTCAGTTGTATACCATAAGAATCAACCCAAAATCGCTTTAAAAAAATGTATACCAACATTCTTAAAAAAAGTAAGAGAAGGGTAAGAGAATCACGGCTCTGAATCTTTGAGACTCGACATACATTGTAAGTGTTCCGTTCTATTTTCCAGCACGAATGACTCCTTGATGTCTTATAGGATAGGGCTCAGGCTATTAGTGTTGTTGTTGCTGTTTTTCTTTCCAGATGTAAGCAATAAATACTAATTAACGTTTTAGATATCCTCTTAAAGTTCCTTAGTGTTCAAACGTTTAACGTTTTAAGCTGTCCGGTCAATTTTTCCCCATCCAATTTACGGATTACGGGCCAGGTCTCTCTTTGACTTGCAATTGCTCTACCGTTTTACAATTAATCTTTTGGTTATCTGTTTAAACGGATATGCAAACCGTTTAAACGCTGTAAATGCCCGTTTACTATCCGTTTAAAATCCGTTAATTCTTACCGGTGTAACGGTAAAGCGTCAGTGTAGAAAATCCTGCATGTACCCAATCCGCTTTAAACATCGTCCGAATATTGAAGAATAAAGGAATCGATTACTGACTAAATAAGCCGTGAGGCAGTTTTCACAGTCGATAACAACTTTAGTGACAAAAGACCGACTCAAGTAGATTAAGGTCTGGTTCTAAGCAAGAGAGAATGATCTATGATGAGCTCATTCTCTCTTGTTCTAAGTCATTCGTGATTTTTTACGCACGTTTTCCAAAAAGCATTTTTAAAGACAACCGAGAGGAAATATAGTCCGGGTAAAAAGTAAACTAAACCTAAAAATAATCTTGAAAAAAGAAATCCAAACCACCTGGTAATGTGATCGACCACGCCCTCTATTGTTAAAAAATTGCAACCAACCATGCCACCACTTGCTAAACGTTTAGCAACAGTTTCTCTGTATCACAACAAAGTGTCTACGAAATCAGCTCGGAATACCACCGCGGTCAAACGTCTAAATCGTTATTTTTGTTTTTTATTGCTGGGATTTCATTTACCAGTTAGAGAAAAATGGGCAAAGATGTATAAATCAGTTAGTCAACATAGCTATCTTTCCATTTTTCTCAAAATTTTGAGCTTTTTTCGCTGAAAACGCTTCGCGCTAAAAGAAAAATCATGTTTGAAAATGGCGCCGATAATAACGTCAGCATCGGTTTTCAATCACTTAGAACTTTTTTAGTAAACTTTTAAAAAGTTAAGTAAACTAACAAGATGTTGGTAATGCCCTAAACTTTCGATAGTGAAAGTAGCAACCTTAACTTTGAAGTATTTCGCTTAACTTTCGCAAATTTCACTCGTTTGACCGCTCTGAAGCTCGGAATGGCTCAAATCGTTACAATTTGTTGGTGCAATTGGTGTCCATTGACTAGTGCCAGTCCTCCTCTTACTAAACTTTTCTTCAGGAGAAAGACGTTTAATGACCTGGTCCCATTCCAACCGTTTTTACAAGAAGACTATTAGTAGCCACTGTTTGGACCTACAAAAGGAACGGAAACTGTCTACTCTCTATATAGTGGGCATTTCGGCCCAAAGGATTTCTCGATAAAACAGGACGTGGCTGGTCACGTGATACATTTAAACGCAATTTTTAAAATGAAATTGGGATATTTCTTGGTTAACTATTTGTCCTGAGATATATTAAAAATAATTTACATTAGACCACCCCCTTTAAAATTCTGGGAAACCATGAAAGAACCAGGCCTTAATCTACTTGAGGATGAGATGACGGAAAAGGAGCGGCAATCCAGAAAGTAACTACAATTAAACATTGCCAACGGATGATACAGGACTGACCTAATTTTTCCCTGATGATCACCTATGATGATCTCTTTCCGCAGCTTATAACTGGGTACTCGGATGTTCAGTTGCTTGTTGCTAATTTTTTGGGTTTAATTTTTTGTTAGCCATGTTACCTTACCGACACCTTTTGGATCATCATGAACCTGAACCCGAAAAATCAACAGCGGAACCTGAGCCGGACACCATCATGCCAGAGATAATGACCAATCAGGAGGCTTTCCTCATGTATGGCATCTTCATCTTCGCTCTTGCTGTTTTCTGCGTCGTTTTGTTGGTTATGTACATCCTCCTTAAGAAGAAGTAAGCATAATAAATATTAAAAGTATGGCTTTTTTAACACAAACACCGCCGGAACGCTAGTCTGCTACACAGCCGTTTTTAGTGTCGTCACGCAACGCTCCTCCCCACTAACGTTAGTGGGGAGGAGCGTTTCGTGACGACACTAAAAACGGCTGTGTAGCAGACTACCGGAACGCTGGCTGCTCAGTTTATAACGTACCTTTTACCACAGTAGAGCTGTCTTTTTCTTTTGTTTACCAAGCAACCGTCACCAATTCCCGTCATGCACACATATCGTCTCCACCTCTTATACATGAGTTAATAGCCAGTTGTCAGGCAAATAACCTTTCACTTCAGCCTGGTACATGTTTCAGCACTCTACTTTCTAATTCCTTTACTAGTATTTGTTAAGTAACTAACACTGGTTTTCTGTCTTTTTTAGAGTTAACAGTTTAACTGAAAAACTTGGATACGGGCAAGGCCATATGCAGATGGGTATGGCTGAAAAAAAAGGTTTGTTTCTTTGCTTGTTTTTGCTATAGTTATTTTTATTTTGGCATCAGTAAATAATTCAATCATGATATGGCTGGTTCTGCTAGCGAGCAAGATAGCCCGTATCTTGCTGGCTTTCTTCAGAAGAAAAAAGGTTTCGGCCATGAATAATATAGATCCTCTTTCAACCCTGATGACTGGATGGATATGTATAGGACTCATTCTGATCTAGTAGCCAATATCTTTGACTATCTTGACAGTCTATTATACACATTTTAAATACCACAATAGGGTCATTATTCAAGGAAAAATAAGAAGCGTCCTTCATTAGACGCGTCCTAAATAAGACACAAACTATCCCGTATAAACGGCACATTAAGACGCGACTTAGCAAAAACGTGTCTTATCTAAGAACTTGTGTTAGGGGCTGTTCTTAGATAAGACGCGTCCTAGCTAAATTTCAAACGAAATGTGCTGTTGATACGGCATAGTTTAAGTCTTATTTTGGACGCGTCCTATGTAATACGCGTCTTATTTTTCCTCGTCTAAACGTTGCGTAATGTGTTTTTTTTGTGTTTGCTGTTGTCATATCGATTTAATAGCTGTTGTCTTAGAACGTGGTATTCTGCTGTATTTATTAAAAGCAGAGTTTCTTGTAAAGAAATTTCTCGAGTGGCCGTTCTTAAAATTCTGGTTAGCCTAGTTCAAGCAGGTGAACCTAAAAAGACTTAAAAAGGCTATTGTGTTTTGGTACACGGAAATTGTGTGCGCAATCCGCGCATTTTCTTACTCGAGATTACGGCAAGGTTGATTCTGGTTCAAATCAGTAAAAATTTGATTTAAAAACCTTCCTTTTTATTTTTAACAGGTTATATTGCTTGAATCTGAGGAGATATTTCAGTCGATGGTTGTTTGACCTTCAAACTGATGTGTAGTCTAGAAGTTTACTGAACTGACCACGAACATGGAATTCGCACCCTTTTTCAGTGTTTTAATGACCGCCACATCGTGTGTTTGTTGGCGAGAATGATATACAAAGAGTTTCTTGTACTAAACAAAGACGATTTCAAAAGTATTTAACCGTACTATTGCCTGTAAAAATTTCTAGAGCATTTATATTGTTTATAAATTTGACCACAAGCATTTTATTGTACGTAATTGTACAGTGAAACCTTGAAATAGCGAAAGCCTCTGCCCAAGAAGACTAGTGATATAATTCTTTGTCCCAGTTATAGACAAATGTATGGCATATGGCCTGTTAATGTTATAAGCAAACGCTCCTCCTTTATAACAAACGTATTTTCCCCTAATCTCAGTGTGTCTTTCCACTTAATATTGGGATTTCACTGTACAATTATATTCAGTGTTACTTTTAGTATTTATACCAAGGATAGTTATCAACCAAGAAATGATGAATAAAACACAATTAGCAAATATTGTTTGACCTGTTTCTTTCATTGAAGAAACTATGGCTTGAATAAAATCGAAAGATGGATGTTTTTATTATTTTTGTTTATGATAGATGATGGGAACATTGTCAGTACCACTGGTAGTCTTGACTTCCTCTTGAGTCCCTGTTATCGAGGTTCTATAGTAACTTTCTGTTGACTTTAGTTGACTTTCCTTACTTTTCGTCCCTTATTTACCACTTTTAACTCTGAAAGATACACATGTAATGCTTACAGAAGCATCCTATTTAATGGAGAGGTTAAGACCCGTTAAGAAAGCAAGCAGATAATAACTGTCCACGAACTGTTCTTATCGCATAAAACTTGCGTTAAACCAGGAAGGAAGAGTACAAACAAAAAACAGTAAACGGCAATTAAGGGGAAAATGTGGTCGCGTGGTACAAATTCACGTTTCCCGTTTGGCGTAAACGTGGGCATGAATCGTAATCTCTTTATATTAATGACTAGCGACCTTGACCGGACTAATCTTGCTCTTAAGTAACTATTAAATACCAATTGGAGCAGCCCAGAGTTACTCAAGACGCGTTCTGGCCTTTCCAACTAAATTGCGGCAGTTTTCCTTACTTTTTTTTATGCCTTAACCGCACAAAATCCCTAAACCGACAACAACAACAACAACAGCAACATACTGGCCCATCCGGCTTAAACCCGGGCTGCATTGTTAAATTACGACTTACCGGTAAGTTTATTTTAGGCGGCGCGCAAGGGAGAAAACGTTTGGAAACACCGCCATAGTAACACGCCGCTTCGGCTCGTACTTTACTTTTTCATGAACATTTTGATGACTGCAATATCCTATTATACACTTCAGTCTAGTAATGTGCAGAGATAGTGAAAATGATGCGAAAAACACACCAGTCCATTTCCTTCCTCAGATCACGCGCGTCTCATTTTTGCTTGGCTATTTTTTGACTATTTTTGCGACGTCCCTACTATCTGAGAGCCTGGCGCAGTTTGTTAGTTGCTTAAATTTTTTTCTCTTTGTTATCGGGCAGCGTGTTTATCATGAGGATTTTCTGTTTTTCTGTTTCTTCGCTCTATCACTCTCAAAGACGTTTGCTCATTGAGTATTTTTCAAGAAAACCAGATCTCTATCCTAGTTTTGTTTCATCTAAACGCATTAAATGACTTTTAAATTTCGAACAGCCCATTTTTGCATGGTGGATTTTCATTGATCGAAACACATACGCTAGATTTTTAAGAGCATTAAATCGTCAGGAGCCTCATCACCCCTTCAATCCGAAAGTCACGGACCTTCTGTAGCTCGTACCTGTAAGAGCAAGCAAAATTTCCAATAGCCTTTCACTTCAGTCAACTTCATTTTAATAGGGTTACTTCAAATGCTCTTTTTTACTACGGCCATCTTGTTATGCGCAGTAAGAGATGCGCAGTGCAAAACCAGTAATCACCTTAATTACTGAGAGAACTTGTAAACATGCCATTAAGTCCACTTGAAAAACCCATCATTAGCGGCGGTTATTATCAATGTCTATTAAAGAAACGTGTTACCTAGTTACTTGGCATTCAAGAGTATTTTTGCAAAGGATGACCTCACTTCTTAATAGTATGTATTTATCTTTATGGTGCATTGAGCTGTCAGGGAGACGGGTATGACGTTTTGTGCGGTCACATGGTAAGCGTAATGTTGTTCTTCTATTCATCGTTACGCACGCTAAGCAACAAACGTCGGTAGTTCAACCAAAACAAGCCCTTACTTGTTCCATGCCAGTTCCTGAGCTGGAGAGGGTTAAGAGTTGCATTAACACCAAGTACTAACGGCTACTCCCTTAAAAAGGTAAGCATTTAGTTAGTTGCTTAGACATGACTTCCTTCAAATCGGCGTCCTTGAATGTTCGCGACTTGGGAAAAGTCATGCATGGTCAATGTTAGAAATTGCAATGCAGCAGTTCATGTATGAAAATTATCGATTGATGTGTTAAGGGCAAGCACGCAAGATCATCGTTTAAACTGAGTTAACGCTAGACAGAGAATTGTCTCTCTGCGTGTAAGTTGGCATTTATCAGGCAATCTATTCTTGTTGGGGCGATTCCTTATGGTAAGAGAGGAACTGTGTGGCCCAAGTTTATTTAGAATGTAGTAAAGTTAGCTTTTTTGCAACCGCATGCATGGGAATACATAAACGTAATTAAACCAAACTATCTTACCCCTCGGTTTTGCGGGGCAGATTGGCTGTACTGCCATCATGACATCATACATGTATATCTCCGATAATCAGTCAGTTGTGCCGCGAACAAACATGCAGCTATCTAATAGTATTTATTCTTCCAAGTGTGACAGTAGTAGTGGTAGCGGCAGCTTGTATTTCCAAATCAGCTTATTCTCAGCGAACGAACATAACTAACATTCTGAGCTTTCTGGTATCAGAACTCTCCTTCTTCCTAATTAGATCAGCACGTCATTACTAACTTTTTTCAATCTCAAATAAATGATTCTATTAATATTTCACGAACCCCGACTGACAGAGCAGCAGCAGAAGGTGATTTGATTCACTGCTTGCAAAATAAGCTAACTTTCAGTAATCTGAACAGGTCACCTGGGGCCCCTTTCTTGAAAGTCCCTGTAACTTTACGGGCTAGAAAAAATATATATTTAAATCCAAATTTAAAAAGCAGCCAACTAACAAATCAACCAACCAAAAAACTATTCCATTTTGTCTTGTTAACTGATAGTTTTACACTGTTATCTGCAAGCTGGCAAATGAAACCTCGATCTTGAATGTAAACAACCACAGCTTTCCGCAACAGAATTGAATGGCTGTTCGTCCGGCGTTTTCATGAAATTAGCTAGCTGTGTCTTGGGCTACAACACCCTCTAAAAGAGGACAGTAAAATTTTCCACTCAATCTCGAAAAAGAGTTAGATACTTCGGCAAGAAATGGGTGTGAGGAATTTGAAAAATGATTTCACTAGACTTAGAGAATTATTATTAAAATAATAATTCTCTACACAGATTTTCTTCGTCCATTCGATTAGGATGTTATCATTTCAAGTAAGTACTTAGTTTATAGATCAACATGCAACCATCGATCGACAGTCACCGTTTTCTTGTTTATTTGTGGAATTATTCGGAGTTTATTTGGAGTTTAAATATTTGCGGTTTTATAAATTATAAACCGTGAAGTTGCTTTTTATGTACAGCAACGCCTCAAAGAGGAAACCGTCAGTATGCCGGTACGTCTGGTAGCTCCGACCTGGGCTCTTTTTTTGTTGTCTTTTTATGTCTTCAATCTCCCCTCTACATTCAATTAATTTTTAATTTAGAAATAAAACATTCATCATCACATTACTATCATTGCGCTCGTAATACAGTTAACTTCTTATTCCAAGAAAAAAAAAATATTCGCGCGTTTATCCAGCTGGGCCCTAAATAGCAGGATCAAGATATTCAGTCCTTAATTTCAAGTAAGGAGCACGTAGTACTTGACTCTGATAAAAGGTCTTTATTGATAGCCATGTTTCATCTTCGACGCCTATTGGAAGATCCCGAGCCTAAACCTGTGCAAATCGCAACTGGGGAGCCACGGCCAGAGAGACCCTTCAGTAACTCCTGAGAATGAGCCTCACTGGTATAAATCCACTCATGAACCTGAGCCGGATACCATCATGCCAGAGATCATGACCAATCAGGAAGCTTTCCTCATGTATGGCATTTCCATCTTTGCTCTTACTGTTTTCTGCGTCGTGCTGTTGATTATGTTCATCTACTTGAAACAGCAGTAAGTAACAATTCATGTTGTCATATTTTGATTTACCTTTGAACGTAGGTTGAAGTCAGCCGGCTTTTAGTTTTTCGTTTGGCCACGAATAGGTGAGCAGGATAGAAATTATTTGAAAACCCCTAAACATGCACCTGATGCACCTATAAAAGTAAAACTCATGCTTTTTTTCTCACTTCTTCTGAGGGTAACGACAAAAGGCCTTAGTTAATCCGTCAGCCCCAACTGACTGCCACTTGGAGTCCCTGGGAATATATACGAGTAAAAATCTCATGTTGGTTGCTAGCAGTGATTTAGTTTGTTTTCTGTGGTCGACTAGGCGATGAGTGACGTTTCCCGAAAAAAAGGGGCGTGAAAGTGGATTTGGCAGGCTACGTCGTTACAAATGCCAAGACTATAACTTATAACTTTAATTACATCAATCTTAGTTGTTACAAAGCACATAATTACAGTAAAATACAATTCAGAGTGCCGAAGCCAGACTCTTATATGGCATAGGTCAAGGTCAAGAACAAGGCTTAGCCTTGCTATCACAATGTCACATTCTGCAAGTCATTTTGTTACAAGAAGTAGTAATAATATATAAATATTAATAAACTTTCAGTTAAGGATCTTCGAAATTCAGCAGAAGAGATGTAACCATCTACAAGTTAGCAACGATGTTCGGGAGCGATGACTTCACCCAATCGTACAATTTGGTCTCGAGTTTATCCCAGTGATCTTCAAAATCAACTATTTCAGGAATATCAGTAGCTGTAGTTCTTTTTAAGACCCATAATGATGGATTTATGAGATTATATCACCCCATAAAGCTGTGTATTTAAGCAGCCATCTTGGCTCGCTGACCGAGTTTTTCGCTTTCTCTTATTTAGGTTTCGTAAGTTGAAGGAGCACGTTAGGACAGGACAAGGACAAGGACACATGCGTATGAGCTCAGCTGAAAAAGGTTCGTTAACATGTAAGGGCGACAGTAAAAGAGGGATCGGATTGTTAAATAGTAGAAAGTGCACTTAGCTTACACGTTAGCTTATATCCAGCTAGATTAGAGACACCCCACTCAAATAATTAGAAACAAATAATTCAAATAGAACATAACAGGATTAAAAAACAGCAAGGTGGAGGCATCTTATAGTTGGCTATTTACAAGCATGGCCGAGGATTTGAACTCCGGACGACCGAGAACAAATCCAGCAACTATAGCCAGAGCGGGACTCGTATCTGGAACTCCTGGTGGGGACTTATTTCTGCTGGTCAGCCGCTATCTGCATCCAAATAGAAGCTGGGATTATTGCACCTCTCGGCCAGAGGTCGAAGGCCACAATTTTGCTGTAGTGCAGCTAAGGAAAGATTGTTATCTCTATTGTACCTCTCATAAATAAGCCTTATTCTTGGCAGGTTATCTTGCTTGAAGCTGAGAACGACGCACCCGAAGGTATTCTACGAAGGACAACCTGACTTCATACTACACAGAGGACGATCACATGAGGATCTGATCATACCTGCCGGTGGAGCCCAGTTATACAATGCGTTCCTTGTAATGTAAACAATATTCAAATGTATTCACCGACTTATAAGTATACCTCACTGCTTATCTGAGAAAATGAGAAAAATTATGGCAATAAAGTCCGTCCTCTTTTTAATAAAAAAAAAGTTGATAAGCATTCTTCGATTCCGGAGATAGAAGACTAACAGGTGAAGGAGTCTGTTACCATACAAGACCTTTTTGACAACTAGAAAATGCAACAGTGCAGAAAGCACTGGAACATGGTAACTGCCAATGGTAACTGCCAATCAACGTCATGTGGATTCACGAAAGTCTACTTTTAAAATTCACAATCTACAAAACATTTCTTCATGGGAGGATCATTTGACCACTACCATTGGGCTAATATAAAGGGAATTTCAACAAGCGCGTTTTAAAAACTTGAAATGCCCAGGGAGTTAGCCGGGAGGATGTTTAAGTTTCGAAATGATCGGTGCAGCAACTTTGTGTCGAAGATTAACATATCAGTGGCTTGCCATATAACTTCGATAGAAGAATCGACGAAGTTAGCTTCGAAGCAACTAGTGCAAATGCATTTTAAATGCTATAATCTAGTACAGCCTTCAATCAATAGTCAGCCCTAAGCAAGGTTACAAACTAGGTGCAGTAACAGGAAAATTTATTGCAACCAGCAGAATATATATTAAAATACATTCAAACGGTTAGAAATGGCATATGATGAAAGATAATGCACCAGCAAATATGAATCTTATTAAAAATCTAGTTCTTTTATTTATGTATTACTTTTTTACTCTCGTTAACTTGCTTTAATGTTAAGACTGAAATTGTTGCGGAAAACTTCTCATTTTCCAACTTATACTATGGAGGATAAATCCGCTTTAAAACGAAAACAGCCATGAATTGACAGCTCTTAGTGTTAATGCTCTTGAAATATAAGTAGTCACTATCTCTTATAATTATGAGTCCTATACCGACTAATAAGATGAGGAATATACATTCGGTTGCCTTGCATGTACGGTACTGGCTCTGGGGTCCACCGTGCTGCCCCTTCAGGCATCTTGTTCAGCAGTACGGCCGTTGGCTTTTGGGGTGACACACCTGGGCAGAGGATCATCGTTAGTGCCCGGATTTGGAGTGGACCTGGTACGCAATCTCAGTTTGTTTCGGAGATGCCGATATATCTCCTTCGTTCCTCGTCTGAGATGTTCACCAAAAGCAATAAACAACCAGGGACGAATTGCAGTATTGGCATACGAAAGCCAGTCGAACAGCCATAAGAGAACCACTGGAATATCGTAGAGTTCCTCATAATAGTATTCAAACATTATCATGCTGACGTTCACAGGGAACCAACAGACTGCAAACACCGTGACAACTGTAAAAATCTTGATGGCCGTCTTCCGTTTCCTCCCTTGGTTGATGTGGGCATGTTGATTGACGCTCACTGGTGGCTTGTGCGTCCAAAGGAACCTGGCGATCAGGAAATACAAGATTGCCATGACGACCAAAGGAACTGCATAGGTGAGGACAACTTTCAAAATCACTTCCGCTTTGAAAAAAGTGTTGTTCATCTCCTCATCTTCATGCCACTCTTCATAACAGTATTGAACACCTTCATCCATTCCTGTCTTGTTTTTGCACAGGTGCACACTGGATACTAATGCAGCACACAGCCAAACTGTAATAATGGAACGAAGGACTGACCTGGACGACAGGGTGCGTCCTCGGAGATATACAATAACCAGGTATCGGTCAACAGCAATGATTGTGAGCGTCCAGCTGGCAGCGCAAATGGAGATAAACAACACATATGCTAAGCCTTTGCATAAAACTGTTCCAAATACTCCTGGTTGATGTCCAAATGCGATGAGCCAAATGGAAATGACGATCACATTAACGAGATCAGCCACAGCTGTGTTGACAATGAGCCAGTAGAACGGATTCTTGCGAATACTCTTACGGGTGCGGACAAGATGAATGATGAGAGAGTTGCCAACCAAGGAGAACAAGATGATAATGACGTAGAGGCCAATCATGATCATCTTTGTGGTTTTATAGGACTCATAGAACTCGTCTTCCTCCCCTGGGTCAGTGTCATTCGACATCACCCATTCTTCCACTCCTGATCCTGATCCTGACCCTGACATCTTGCTGAGACCCTACAACGAGAACAATAATAATGATAGAATATAATAATTCATAATGATTATAAAGATAATAATGATGATGATTTAATGAAAAGTAATTATTTTTATATTTTTATAATTATTATTTCAAAACACATACTACAATTACAGCCGTGGTTTCAGAAAGGAGCAAATAGTTTGACAAGTAACTTTCATTGTAAAGAAAGAACAGCATTGCACAAAAATGCACGTCTTTTTAACTCTTCAGTAAAAAAAGATTAGCTGAATGTAAGCTGTTCTATTTCATGCCAAGAATGTTGGAAATTGCTTTTCCGATAATGTTAATTCAGTTTTACGACCCCGTTTTCTGTTACACATGTACCACTGACTTTTTTTAATAGCCAGTCGCTGCTTATCGAGAACATTGCTGATATCCCTATGTCTTATTATTTAGGATAACATGTATCTACATGCAAAAACTACTTCTACAGTACCTCCCAGCGGTACTGCGTTCGCCTCCCTGCGTTGCTTATACTGGAAGTATGTACATGACATCACTATATCAGAATTTGCAGCGGCACGCGGGGTGTCAATTTTGCAATCCGAACTTGACAACATCAGCACTTGGGCTGCTACAAACAATATGGTTCTCAACCCCCAAAAGTACAAGGAGGATGATTTTGCGTTTTCGTAGAGTCGTGGACCATCTCCCATCAGCCTTGGCCATAGACACTAAGGCCCTTGAGTCAGTCGATGCTCATAAAGTATTGGGCATTACAATCCAAAGTAATCTCAAATGGGATTTGCACATTAATGAAGTTGTGGCTCAGGCGTCAAAGAGGCTGCATATTCTCAAACGCGGCGGATGACCACCTGCCGACCTAGTTAAGGTTTATTTTACGCTCATTAGGTCTGTCCTTGAATACTGTTGTCCTGTGTGGCATAATGCCCTCCCCGTCCAACTATCAGATAGTATCGAGCGAGTGTAGAAACGGGCGCTGCGTATCATCTTTCCTGCGCTGCAC